CTGAAGATGGACACAACTTGATTTCTTCTGAAAAGTTATTGACCATACTGTCAGGACTACTATCTATGGAAGCCTGTGAGTGTAATACATGTAAGTTTGTCTTTACTTTATAGAGGTACTATCCTCTTCGTCGTCTTCCTCCTGTTTTGACGAGTACGGTGGAGTAGCTACGGATCACGCCCGGCTAGCTGAGTGTATCTCCGCCCCCTCCGTGCTGTGATTGGAGATGACGTACCAGAGGATGACCTCATTCAGTTCGCATTAGCTGCTGATTATGATGTCAGTCGAGCTATAAATTTCTATTTCCAGTCAGCTTAATGTTAATAAACAAATTCCATTGGACATTCCTTCAGGGTTTTGAGCAAAACCTCTAGGCTGAAAATATGCTTACCAAAATGTAGTGAAAGTTTTTCCATAGAAATCCTTACAAAATATTTGATCAGAATTTGTTTATTGCAAAATGCAAGCAGATATTGCTAATCAGCCATATTTGTATTTTCCTTCTTAATTAGACAATGTATTCCCCTATTGCTCATGACAATGTAAAAAATGTAGAAAAACAAATGGTGATCAATCTCAAAAAAAATTTAAATATTACAAATCTGTGACACAACTATTGATATGGCTTTTACATTTAAGAGATGCAATTGCTCAAAAAGAAAAAAAATGTTTGCATTTTTATGTGCCATGAAATAGTCATTATACAAAATTTCTTTCAACATGCAGACTTATTTACTATATGTTAAAATGAGAAAAATATATATCAAGGCAAATTTTTGAAAGGTCAAGATTATTGAATCAGATATAAGGCTTCTGTGGGGTCCTATATGACTTGGTTACTATTCTTGTTAATATTTATTGTGCGTTATTTAAAAGTCAATGCTGTAAACCAACTTTTTGGAAGCATATATTTCAATTGTTAGCTCACCAGAGCTGAAAGCTCAAGTCAGCTTTCCTGACTCTGATTTTCTGAATACAAGGGAGATAATCAAGAAAAGGGTGGAGTCATAATTTTCTGAAGAACCACTGGTCCAGAAAAGCTGAAACTTATGTGGAAGCATCCTGGGGGTAGTATAGATTTTATATTGGTCAAATTTTGACCCTCAGGGTTAGGGCAGGGCCACAACAGTGAATCCAAGTTTTACAATGAAATAAGTTAGAAAAATCTTTAAAAATCTTCTCAGGAACCACTGAGTTAGAAAAGCTAAAACTTATATGGAAAAAGCGTCTTGGGGTAGTGTAGATTTCATATCATCTGAATCATCACCCCAGGAGGTAGGGTGAATCACAATAGGTTTTACAAGGGGAAATTTGGCGAAGAACAACATGGCCAAAGATACTTAGCTGAGCGATGTGGCCCATGCTCAGTTTAAAATTGAAATGTCTCTATTTTTAGTTTATGCATATGAGGAAGTATGATGCATAGATATATTTACACTTAAAAATATTTAATGATTTATTGCTTTGAATTTTTTGAGAAAGAAAGTTGCAAAACTTTCAGATATTTCTTGCATTTGAAGAAAAGTTGGTTCACATTATATGAAAATAATTGATAAAATGTCACTAATAGATGTGTATTTTATTTTACCATTTTCTGCTTCGTCATTTAATGATTTATTATTTATTGCATCATCTGTGATAAGATATTGGTCTGTTCTAAGTGGAATAGGAATCTCCGTGAGGCCCTCATTTGAACTGTTCTAGTTAAACATTTTTATCTTGTCAATTTTTTAATTCTTTTAATCCACTGCCTCTCTAGAATTTTGTATTTCTATAGGAAAATTATATTTTAAAAGAATTATTTAACATTATATTGTTAAGTCCATTTTTATCTGTTTTGGTTTACATATTTGTTTGTAATAAAATGGAATAGTTCTTTTGTGTTGTTAACAATTTCTAGTCATTAAGGTCTTCCGTTTCAGACGGAAGACCTTATAGTGATTCTACTGTTTTTTCTTATTATTATTCTTATTATTATTTTTTTCCCCAAATCTTGTCGGCAGGATTTCTCAGAGATGGCTGGACGGATTTTCCTGAAATTTTCAGAGATGATAGAGAATGAAAATACCCCGAGACGTTTTTTTCATTTTTTCAAAATTCACTTCCGGTCGTCAGATATGTCCGATTTCCGCTTTTTTCAAAAATATTTAATCCGAGTGAGATCTCAGAAATGGTAAGAGATTAAGGCACCAAACTTACAGGGATGATAGATCTTGATAAGTAGGCAAATCCAATTGGGTTAAGATCGTCCACCGTCACTTCCGGTCGTCACAGGAAGTGTTCTTAAATATCGAAAATTTCAACTTTTCTTTTTTGAAAGTTTTTTAGCATCAGATTATTGCATCTTACTCGTAGTTTTGAAATATATCAGTCCAACCGGAAACAAAAACGACAACTTCCGGTTATAAGAGAAAAACTGCATATTTTCAGTATTTTTCTTTCCCATAAATATTTTTTATAGATAAAGTTTTTGAAATGATTTTTAGATGTGTAATTCAGACTGCAAATGACTACAGTAACGTCAAATATCTTTGGAAAATTCACTTCCGGTCGCGTGATTTCCTGTCCTCAAAATGAATAGTTCTTATAGCTATTTCTCTGAAACGGTAAGAGATGTAGACACCAAACTTATAGGAGTGGTATATCTTGACGAAAAGGGAAAAACATATGGGTTAAGATTGTCCGCCGTTACTTCCGGTCATAACAGGAAGTGGTCAAAAAATAGGAAATTTCATCTTTTCTTTTATGGAACGTTTATTGCATCACATTACAGCGCTTTATTTGTAGTTTCAAAATATATCAGCTCCACCGAAAACAAAAACGACAACTTCCGGTTATAAGAGAAAAACTATATAATTTGAATATTTTCTTTCCAATATATATATTTTTTTTATAGATAAAGTGTTTGCAACTGTTTTTGGATACGTTATTCAGACTGCAAATGTCTACAGTAACATCAACTATTTTTTTTAAAATTCACTTCCGATTGCGTGTGATTTCCTGTCCTCAAAATGAGAAATTATTATAGCTAGATCTCTTAAACAGTAAGAGATAAAGACACCAAACTTTGACAAGTGGTATATCCTGATGAGTTAGCATTTCCATGGGGGATAAGATCGTCTGTCGTCACTTCCGGTCGTCACAGGAAGTGATCAAAGAAGTCCAAAAATTGAACTTTTCCTTAATATGGAAATTTTTTTTATCACATAATAGCATCTTATTTGTAGTTTTGAAATGAGTCAGTAACACCGAAAACAAAGAACACAACTTCCGGTTATAATAGAAAAGCTTCATAATCTGAGTATTTTTCTTTCCAGTAAATATTTTTTATAGATGCAGTATTTGTAATCATTTTTGGATATGTTATTAAGACTGTAACTGTCTTCAATAACGCCAAATATCTTTATAAAATTCACTTCCGGTTGCGTGATTTCCTGTCCTCAAAAAGAGAAGTTATCATAACTAGATCTCGTAAAGGGTAAGAGATTAAGACACCAAACTTTTACAAGTGGTAGATCTTGATGAGTAGGCAAAACTAGTCAGGAAAGATTGTCCACCGTCACTTCCGGTTGTCACAGGAAGTGTACAAATGAATAAAAACTTTTCTTATGGAATCTTTCTTAGTTATACATTATAGCATCTTTTTTGTAGTTTTGAAATATGTCAGTCCCACTGGAAACAAAATGGACAACTTCCGCTTATGAAAGAAAAACTGCATAAATTTAGTATTATACTATCCCATTAATATTTTTGATAAGAAGAGCATTAGAAATGATTTTAGGACATGTTATTTAGACTGAAATATCTAGAGTAACCTCCAATATCTTTTTCAAAAATTTACTTCCGGTCAAGTGATTTTTTTGTCCTCAAAATGAAAAGATAATATTATGAGATCTCTTAAACTGTAACAGATCAAGACACTAAACTTATATGAATAAAACAACATGAAGATTGGGCAAAAAATATAGGGTAACACAGGAAGTGATAAAAAATTGAAAATGATTTTTGTACATGTTATTAAGACTATAATTGTCTAAAGTAAAGAATCTTGGTAAGTTACTCCTCCGGCTGTTTTTTTTTTCCTGAAATCATAAAAAATATTATATGCCTTTTTAACATAGATTAAAGCTCATTCATGTAGATAAATAGAGGAGAACGGAAGACCTTCTTTGTTGCTGTAGCAACAAGAGTTTCTAGTTGAGAATTATTATTGTTTTGAGCACTTTTTTTCAAGCTTTGTTTTAAACTATTTTGCAAAATTTCTTAATATCACAATAAAATTTCTAATGAAAAATGACTTTTTTGTACAGTTAAAATTTTATTTCACTTGCAAGTATATGTACCAGGTAGGTCATTTGACTCTGATTTACCTTAACTCAGTAATATAATAATGAGGGATAAAACTAGGTGAAACCTGAACAATAAACTTCAAATGATCATTGTTGTAAAACATACGAGTATTTTACGAATGAAAAATAGAGTGATTTTAAATATTTGATTTGATTTGAATATATTTTATTATGTAACAATTACATACCGTATATACTCGCCTATAAGTCGGTTTTTGGGGAGTTAATCTCTGGTCTAAAACTCTTTGTCCGACTTATAGGAGAGCTATTAAAAGTATGGTTTTATATGAGGTTAGTCCATCTGATATGCAAGCTTATTACATACAACCGACTTATAGGCGAGTATATACGGTAAACGGATTGGGATGGCTGAACCAATTTGAAGGATTAAATTTGGGTAAACAGCAACATAGAATTAAAGAGGACAGGTTTTTTAGATTCATATTATGCCAGGGGGTGTATAAAAAAGACCCATCAAAGTAATTTTAATTTTCAAAATTCTGCAGTCAAACTTTCGGTATGATCAAAACAAGCAATGATTTTATTGGTGCTTGAGTATCATATATAGTGAACCAGTATAATTTCTCTGTATACTTAGCTGACAACGACAGTGCATGGTCACAATGAGCAAGTGAAATTGTTTCCTCCCTGCTTTCTTTAGTAGTAGGGGAAATTTATTAATTTTGGTCTGTCTGTCCACTCATCTGTTTGTCATTCTGTCTGTGTGTAACACTTGTTTGCATGTAATATCTCTTGAAGGCTTCATCCACCTGTAAGGAAATTATTATACCAAAACTCCCCAAGACCTATAAAGACCCCAGTTGATTTTAAGATCAAAGGATTTTAAGGTCAAGGTAAGAAATTCAAACATTCTGCATGTGTAACAATCTCTTCCAGGCGACATCTTGAAAATCAGGGCATACAAAGCCCTAATATACTGTAGGCCAAATGAGTTGGTTCAAAGTGGGACTAAATTGGCCTTAACCTGAGAAGCTCAAAGTACTTTTGAAACTGATTTTGAAAGTTTTAAGAGTAAGAAAGATTCTAGCTATGTAAATGAAATGATTAAAAATTGGAGACGAAATCAGAAAAAAGTCGAGCTGCAAAAGTTGTAGTACGGTACATGTAATCGCACCATAATAAAGGAAAGTTTAAGAACTTGCACAAATGAAATATCAGAAGTTTATGTTACACATTTTAGAAAGTAAAGCACATGCATTGTACAATTTTGTTGCACCTTCAGTAATCATGCTTGATAAGAAATTGTTGTGATGTGAATTTCTGTAAATCGTTAAGGTCAATACCAGGAAGCTGGGAGTGTGGTATGTTATCAGTAGGACTGAGATAACACTATCTAGAGGAGGGTATTATCAACAGACCACAGTACACAGGAATCAACTAAAACACTAGTCTACCTTTTAGGGATTAATGTGACCTGTTATTAAATAGGGTAAGAATATATATTACGTTTAGTTACTACAGTAACTCCACACTTAATAATCTATTGTTTTAATCTTGACAGTTGTTAGAGTAATATTGATGGAAATGTACAACAGTCGTAGTTTACGGCTTTATCAATGTGCGAGGCTGGAACTGAAAGTAATGTCACAATGGCATGAAATCTTTAAAAATATAGATTTCAACAAAAGTATGTTTGATCTATTTTGGCATTTGTCCTAAATAAAACTTCATTTTGATATGCGCAGTATTATTAAAATGATCACAACCTTTGGTTTTGTCCATAGCTGCACAGCAAAAATGTATGACTTCGTTATACATTTCTCTTTGACACTGATTTTGAATCTGATGATACCTAAAGATTTATGCTAAAAGAAAAGAATTTTAAAAATTAAAATTTGGACAAATCAAATACCGGTAATTAAATTAAATCTACTACTCAAAACAAGATGATTTATTGGCAGTAAAGGTTATTAGAAAGTAACTTGTGAGAGGTTAAAATTAAGATATGCTGATGAACTAAAAATATGTACTGAAAAGTAAAGTCATATAATATTCTTGCTGTACTTCAATTCAAACAATCTAACGATGTGTATATCTTAATATTTACATTTGCAGATGTTTCCCTTTATACAACACTACTGAAAGCAACATGTATAACCGTATCAATACAAATTCCTTGGATGTCATATTATATAAATATAAGAAATAAGGTATCATTTTTAAACATCTATCGGGATACAGATATGGGTTGGTCATGAGATCAAATTCCATTAAGTGCTTCCATTAAGGGCGGGGCAACAATGGTTGATCAAAGTTTTACATAGGAATACATATGAATTAAGAAAAATCTTCTTCCCAAGAACATCAAAACCATGATTGGTCATATTTAGATGGAAGCATGCAGGTACTGTAGGTTCAAGTTTGTTCAAATTATTACCCCTGTGGTAGAGTGGTTACACAATGGCTGATCAAAGTTTTATATGGGAATACATAGGAAAAGTCTTTTTATCTGTCCAAATTTTCTCAAGCAGAGAGCTACAGTTTTGCAGCTCAGAAAAAATCTATGATTAATCATATATACCATACAAATGGAAAAGTATTCAATACAAATGGAAAATTATAGAGTACAAATAACAATGATACAATACAAATAAAAAATCATAATACAAATGAAAACTTGACAATACAAACGAAAAATTTAGAACACAAAGAAAATTTTACAACTCAAAGAGAAATTTTACAACACAAATTAAAAATTATAGAAAACAAATGCAAAATTTTTCAATGCAATTGGAAAATTATACAATATAGATGGAAAATTATACAACACAAATGGAAAAGATGGAATATTGTAAAATTTTTTATGCCATAGGTAGCAGAGATTCTAGTTACCTCTAGTGATCATTACAAAACCATGTCATAAAACTGTTTGAAGATGCATTTTAATTCTGAATTTCTGTTGTCTAGATTTGAGGTCTGGAGGTGATGCCATGGACTGTAGGCTGTTACTGATTGTCAGTTTGATTGTGCCTGTCTCCAGTGCAATTACTGAGAGCCACCAGCAGCTTAGGGCAAACAGTGTCGGTATGTAACACGTTAGAAATCTGATTCCCATTTGATGACCTATTACAGAATGCTCTGTATTTGAACATTTACATTTATTTTACTGCATGCCAATAATGAAATTAATTTGCAGTGATAAAGTGACATCATATGTTTCTTTTACTTATAAAATGAATGTAATATTTTTCTTTGATCGATGTATCAAAGAAAAAATTGGACGGAAAACTTCATCAGTGTGCGTAGCGCATCGATGAAAAAGTTTTCCATCCAAATTTTTTCTTTGATACATCGATCAAAGAAAAAAATATTAAAATCATTTCTTATCATTATGGTTTTAAATTTATAAAATGTAACTTTCTTTTACCTTTCTATTAATTTTATGCATCAAAAACAGTGCACACAAATACATCACAACAACGTTAACGTTGCTGATATTCAAAATGGCTCTAACGAAAAAAAAGTTCTCAAATATTGTTGTGTCATTACTAACGTTCTCTGAGATAATTTATTTCTTTAACACAAAAAAACCCGTACCTGTTCTGTTATCCCAGTGGGTATATTTCCCCGGTAAGTTATCTTAGTTCGTAAGTGTAAAGGGGAGCTACTCAAATATTCTAACAGTTCTATGTCACAGAAATTTTGGATTTCATTTGCGCATTTTTTCATCTGAATTTCAAACTGAACATATAAATACGTTTTACAACCTGTCAATGCTGTAAAAACTGAACGAGTCTGCTACCGACTATTTAAGATTAAAAGAATTCCATCCTCACTTACAGTGTCGTTTTTCTCAACCATTCGTTTCCCAAGGTTTAACAGATTTTTCAGTTTTCCATGCTTTGGTAGCATAAAAATATCATTTCTTCAGAGTTCTATTGTTCATAACAGATATCTCAAAGTCAAACATTTAACAAATGTATGCCAATTCCTTTCCTTCTTTCCCAAAACTGTATTGTTGTTATGCAGACGATTCATTTGTTTAGCAAAGGGGGATAATTAAAAAAGAAACGAAAGTAGAAAATAAGTCAGGAACGCAACAGACAGGTTTTGAAATTCAGGAAAATATTTATTAAAGTAAAACTATTTAATTATTCCTTCAAAAAGTTACCTGGAAGCGGGAATATACAATCATGTAAAGACTGCCAAAGTAGTTCCGACTGCTTAGTGCAAGCGAACTCTAGATTCTATTGATGCAGTTATCAAAAGAATTTTTTATCCTCAGGTAGTATAGATTCAAATTTGGTCAGATCATGACCCCTAGAGGTAGGGTGGGGCCACAATAGCTGATCAAAGTTTTACAAAGAAATATACAGGAAAATTCTTTAAAAATCTTCTTCTCAAGAATAGCAAAGGCATGATTCAGCATATTAATGTGGAAGCATCCTTAGGTAGTGTAGATTCAAGTTTGTTCAAATCATGACCGCAGGGGTTGGCCGGGGCCACAAAAGGGAATCCAAGCTTTACATAGAAATATATTGGAAAAATCTTTTAAAAATTTCTTCTCAAGAACTACTGGGCCAGAAAAGCTGACACTTTTGTAGAAGCATCATGGGATAGTGTAGATTCTGAAATATTAAAATCATGACAAGGGACGGGGCAAGAGGCCACAATAGATATGACAAGAGGGAAAATCTGGTAAAGAACTGCATCATCAAAATTACTCAGGTGAGCGATGTGGCCCTTGGACCTGTTGTATATAATAAATGGAGTTGAATTTCAAGTTTTTAATTTTTTCTATTTTTTAATGAATTAAGTTAAATTTTGAGTATTCATATTTTCAATTTTCTGATAAATGGAGTTGAATTTGAAGTTTTTAATTTTTTTTCTATTTCAGGAACCATAACTAGAACTGGTGCAGGATGTTCAACTCTACAGCATGCATCCTTGCTTCAAATTCAAGAAAATACTGATCCAGGTAATAGTTTTTGGATGACAAGTGCTGCTAAGCTAACCTACTGTTATCCAGCAGGGATGTGCAATTAACATCACTCAAGGCATAGGGAAAATCAATTAGACCATCATCTATTTAATCTTAATCAGAAGTAAAACATTATTTGTTGCACAAGCGGCAATAATTGATATTGACCTAATTAAAGTAATTTAACTTTTAGCAAAATCAAGATCTTTAGTTTGGTTAAAGCTGACATGAACTCTTAAAAAGCCATCATTTTTCATCTTTGTACGACTTACTACATTCCTGTACGCCTTTGTCCGCCATATTTCTTCGATTCCGCCATATTTAATTGAAAATTTTCGGTCACCTGTACCTGCTATATATAGCCTTGTACGATTGCTTCACTTGAGTGATTTTCTAGCCTGACTGTCGACATGTACACATCTCCGATAACAAAGTTTTTAGAAGTCCATAAACTGACCAAATACATGTTTGAAAAGTAAAAATTCAACAAAAAAATAGAACTATACAGAGAATTAAATTATTTTTGAATGCATTTGCTGCAATATAGAAAATAAACTAACACGGAATAAATACATGTACATCAAACACCCATGCAGGTCGAGAAAACGCGTCAAACGCAGTGATAAAAACATTTACCTGACTACTGCTATCGTTACAGGGATGTGCACATGTCGAAAGAATTATCCTATTTTACTTTTATTGAAAAATGCATCTCAGAAGTCATGTAATCCATTGCTAACTCAACAGTAAAAGATGCTTGGACACGTGGCCCATGCCGATCATTTTATTTGGTCAGGGAAAATATCAAAGGTTGAAAGCTCAGTGGGGTTTATTGAAAAAAAAATGCAAGTAATTTTTCAAAAATAAACATTACTCTTGTCTGTACATGTTGTAAATAAAATTTACGATTAAGTACATGGTTTAACTTCATCAAATTCATTAAAAAAAGCAGGCATTATTACGAATCATTCACCTTTTGAAGATATTTTCCCGTGATATGAGGGGGGGGGGGGGGGGGTGTAAGAAAACATGCATAACACTCTCATAAAAATAATGTAAGAAAAACGTCTGAAACAGATTGGATTTCTTTATGATCAATTATTATCAAATAAATATTGTGTATTGGCTTTATTAGACCTAATATAATTTGATTTAAAGTTATTTAATTTTGCACTATGAAAGAAAAAGTGAGCACGTTCACATACCCCACGCTCCCCCAAAAGTCGAAGTAGTGCTGAAATTCCCAGAAAAAAATAAAGGAATCGTAATTTCCTTGTAATATGCACATCTATACACATTGTGTCCTAAATATCTGCAAAGATTGATGAAATTGTGTGCAGCGGTTTATGAGGAGTTGCGCTGACAAACTGCTCACCTCTATATTCAAGATATGGCCAAAATCTAAATGTAAAACTGCGGAAATTCCCGAAAAATAAAGAATTCGGAATTTCCTGGTGATGTGCAAATCTACACACACATTGTCTCCTATAAATATCTGCAAAGTTCGACAAAACTCTGTACAGTGGTTTATGAGAAGTTGCGCTGACCAAAAAAAAAAAAAAAAAAAAAAAAGACTGACTGACTGGTCAAAAACATTAAACCTCACGCGTGGGGTATAATAAACGAGTTTGATTCTTTGGTACAATGATAATGAAAAAAGAATTTAATGTAAATTAAATTTCTAGACATAAATAAGTAATGATTATTAGAAAAAGCATATAGGAAGAGAGTAAACTCCTCGTGAGAATTCCACATTCTACCTAAAACTAGCTTTTTAAAAATTTTCTTGTCTGTTGTCCAAGTTCGACACATGTATACGTTTGAGAAGGTATTCGAGAAAGTTCCCAATGTTCCCATTCCTGTGATTTATATTTCACGTTTATTATATCCCCCGCCTGAAAAGTGGGAGGTAATCGTTATGTCCGTTCGTCTGTCTGTTACGCTTTGGGGTAACCATCTCTTATCCGCAAATCCTGTTACATCACTTAGAGAAATTTAATGAAACTTTCAAAGAATCTTAAGTTTATTACAGATTACCATTATGCACCTCATATTTCACTTTTTGATCTGACACGTATGGGTTTAGCGAAATATGGACTTTGCCATTATAACCATATGGGAGGCAGGGGGTATCATTTAGTGAGTTCATTGCTCATAATACATGTACGTCTAATTTCTCTTTCAATTTGGGCGTTTGGGTTAATTTCCTGTCCAAAGTAAAATTATTATTCAATTCATGAAGTTTCGACATCCCGCCTGAAAAAAATCCTTGATCTGTCCTAAGGCATAATAAATGGTACAGCACAAAGTGCGTAGGATTTTATACCTATCATTGCCCCAATGGGTGGTTACAGACAGAGAGAGAGAGAGTTCAATATACAAAAGAATAAATAATAATTATCCGTATTCAACCAGTGTCAAGTATCCCTACCCTAGCTTTTAAAATTATCTCCCAAATTCACCTACAGAAATTATTTATATATATAAAAAAAAATACCTAGACTATCAGGCAGGGATACTGAAATCTCGAAATACTTCCTGTAACAACATAATTATAAAACAGTTACATTCCTCAAAATGCACATACTTTGTGGTCGGAGTGACACATTTCAAAAAAAAAAAATCTCAAAACTGAATTTGGCAGAAATCTATGTCTTCCAAGAATATTTAAATAACGGTCATGTCAATTATTTTTGTATGCCCCCCCCCCCCCCCCGTCCAAAAAATCAAATGCCTAAATATCAATCTGAACAGGGGATGGCCTTTCTCCGTGTGTGTATGTGTTAAAGAATGTATAGATGTACACATAAAAATTTGTATTCTGGTTAATTGCTTTTAAGATTTGAAGTAAATTATAGCCGTACATCAAATTACTTTGTTTAGATTTGAGATTAGTACTAAAATAATCAGTTATATTAATTGACAAATGAATTTTGCCACGCAAACCAACTGCAGACTATATATACATGACTTTGTCTAGAATGTATATTAGAACTACATGTAGATAAACAATTTACAATTATAGCTTATGAACATCAGTTATAATACCCCCCCCCCCTCCCCTTTCAGCCGCGCAAATACCAAATAACTTCTCTTTC